AAAATCCTGGAGGGCCTGATATCCAAGCAGAAGGTAGGTTGTTTTTAAAATTTCGTGCCCTGTATGCTACATGTGTCATTTCTTTCGTTGTTTCTTCTGAGTGTATTTTTAATCTTTTTATTTCTTTTCCCCTTTTCTTTACCAGAAACCAAATTTTGAATTTGTGAATACTGAAAATAAGGAGGAAGATCAATGTAAGGAATGATAAGGATGAGGAAAGGGCAGAACCACCGATAGTGGTAGACGGACCCACAGAGGCAGCTACAGAGACAGAGGGTGCAGCTCCAGAAGACACGAGCAGAGGTAAATACCAAACTCTGACACATTTTTAAAATTAGAACTCCTGTGACTACTGACAGCTATTTTAGAAATAGATCCTTTTGAGACCTTTTATCCCTGAAACAATCAATGTGATGTTAAATTTAGTGTCCTTTTTAAGTCATTCAACTTAGAATAACATGTGATCAGTCACATTGACTCATCCGTATGGTATGAAAAGCCGTGACATTGTGTTCTTTAGATAAAAAGCAAACTGAATTGTTTTCATTTTGCAATTAAATCTCTGTGTCAATTTGCAGCCCTTGTGAAATTACTGATTCTAAAAAAAAAAAAAAAAAAAAACTTGAGCAGATTTCTAAGTCAATTTTTTCCTGGAGAAATTCTGTGAGGAAACTTTTTACCTAACGAGCACAAATGTCATCAATTGCAATAATGGATGAGTCAATCAGACTAATGAAATATGTTATTTTCAATCCAATGGCCTATGAGAACTATATTTAACAGCATATTGATCAGTTTTTGGTATAAAGGGTCTCAAAAGGATTTATTTCTAATAATGTGCTCAAAACCCTGAAAACCTCTCTTTTACCAACTGACCGCCTAATTATATTCATTTTTGTTATCCATTAGGACCCTCTAAAGTACCACAAATTGCTCCTGGACGCCACAAAAAGGGAGCAAGGGTGGATAGAGGAGAGTATGAATCAGCGAAGGCAGATCAAGGAAATGGAAGAGAAGATGGAGGCTGTGGTGAGAGACGGAGAAGATCTTAAAGAAGAAGTGGAAAGATTGAGGAAGGAGGATCACGAATTGAGAAAGAAGAATGGGAATGAGGCAGAAGAGAGGTTCGAAAAGGAGAGAAATGAGCTGAAGCAAGAGATTTTGAGAATCAAGACAAGCAGGAATAGGGAAAAAGATGAAGCACAAAAACAAATTGAGGAAGGGCGCGCAACGGTAGAGCAAGTAGAGGAGCAGCTGAGGAGAGAAAGGCATGAAAGAGAAAGAGCAGAAGAACGGGTACGCGATTTGCAAGAAAGTTTAAGAGAGAGGGAGGTCAATCAAGAGTTGATAGAAAGGCTACAAACGATTTCAAAAACTGCAACAAACCTTCCGCGATCGCCCTGTTATAGATGGTGAGTGAATTTTGCATTACTCTTAAATTATTTTGTCGTTATTTCATGAGTTTTTTAATACTTGTTTTGTTTGTGCGTTTTTCAGATCTGACATGGCACGCTTTTTCTGATAATTAAAATTATGTAACTAATAAGATGAATTATAAAATAAACAAGCACATACGAAACTCTATTCTTGTACCATTTCCACCCAAAATAAGAAATATTTTTGTAATCTTTGTAAAAAGTTCCGATCAGAAACGGATCGTGAAAGCAGATGATACCTTGTCAAAAAAAAAAAGGCAAAAAAAAAAAAAAAAGCCATGTTCTTCTTGTACTGTTAAAAATCTATAATTAACTTGTGTTATTGAGTTTGTGCAGTTCTGCAATAAAATATGAGTTGTGTAGATGTGATGGCGCACCTCATCTTGATTGTGTCTGACACCC